TAGTAGATTCTGACAAGGAGCAACAAAATCTATGAGAATGCTATAAATCCCCATCCAGTGCTTTACTTCATCCTGCTAATCCTCTTAGTTATTTATGGTAAAATCCCATAAATACAAAGAGTTCAGGCATCTTTCTCAGAAAGAAAGAAGGAAGAAGATCACATCATCCCATTCATTCATTCATGCTTTCATTGGGATCACCTGAGCACCACTGTGTAACAGATTCTGCAAGGTTCTAGGGCTGCAAAGATGGGTAAGACTCAGTTCCCACCCCCAAGGAGCCTACAGCCAATCTTTGGGAGAAAGGAAGCCCAAGAGGTAGAACAAGGATGACCAACTAGAAGAACACAACAGAGGAGATCCCTGAGGGCTCTAAAGAGGAGGGTGGGGGAAAAGACTCAAAGGTTTTAGCCAAAACAGTATTAACCTGCTCAGATCTACAGATCTGACACCAGGAAACATGCATAAGAAATTACTAACATAGTCCTCATTTGATCTACTAGATGTAAATCAGTTTCGCACTCTTCAGTGATTTTATTTTAAAGTTATTTGTCAGTAATGTCAGTTGATCTGGGAGAACTATACATACAGTCTCAGGAGCCTTTAATATTTGCATTCAGAAGTTGGGTAGTGGCTGGGCGCGGTGGCTCACGCCTGTAATCCTAGCGCTCTGGGAGGCCCAGGTGGGCGGATTGTTTGAGCTCAGGAGTTCGAGACCAGCCTGAGCAAGAGCGAGACCCCGTCTCTACCAAAAATAGAAAGAAATTAATTGGACAACTAAAAATATATAGAAAAAATTAGCCGGGCATGATGGCGCATGCTTGTAGTCCCAGCTACTCGGGAGGCTGAGGCAGTAGGATCGCTTGAGCCCAGGAGTTTGAGGTTGCTATGAGCTAGGATGATGCCATGGCACTCTAGCCCAGGGAAAAGAGTGAGACTCTGTCTCAAAAAAAAAAAAAAAGAAGTTGGGTAGTGATCCCCTTTAAAAAGCAAAAAAAGAAAAGAATAAAAGAAAAAGTTGGATAGTGAGTTCATGGCTGTTCACTTTATCACTACATTTCATAACTTCCATACATATTACATGTATTTTTTTATATTCAAACATTCCACAACTTAAAATCTAATAAAAATAGCAGTTGAAAAATACAATTAATGTTTTAGGGTAAAATCTGAAAATCACCCCCTTCTCAAATTAACTACCTTGCTTCTCACGAGTTGTTATATTAGAGTCAAAAGAAAAACATAAAGTTTTGAGGGCCAGGAGAGAAACATGCAGCTACTTTCCTGCCCTTAAATATGACTAATAGAGCAATACTAACAAACAATAATTATATTAATGTTAAAAACATTACTATTAATTCAAAGCATATGAACAGCCCTTTAAAAAGCAGATCCTCAAACTCTCATTTGATTTTCACTGAAATCCTACATGGGAGATGCTGCAAAGTCCACCGAAAAGGACACCCAGGCTCCCTCAGAAACCTCATCCAAAGTAGAGGATGAACAAATAATTTCTACTCTTGCCATCCTTTACTGATTCCGCATTTCCTTATTGTGCTCGGAACATTTTTACACCATAAAACACGGTGGATGCCAACAGCAGTTAGCATTTACTGCATGGTTGTTACTCCGCCAAATGTTGGCCTCATGCTAACGCTTCACGTACATTATTTCATCTATTCCTCCCAACAGTCCTGAAAGGAAGTAGTATAATTGTCCAGTGTTTGACACATGAGAAAATAGAGATTCAGAAAGGTTCAATCACTTGCCCCACATCACCAGGTTAGAAGCAGAATCAGGACTAGAATCTAGGCCCATCCAACGCCAAAGTCAACTTTCCTAACCTTGTATGACATTGTCTCCCACAAAAAATAAACCTCCCTGAATATATTTCTCAGCATCCTCCCAATCATTGATTAAGGCCGTGCAAACATAGACCCCACTCTGTGTAACTCACTTACCATTGGGATTTTGGGAATCGAGTCTCCCAGCAGGAAGATCATGCTCTGTAAGTTCTCTGGGATGATGCCTTCTGACAGTTCATAGAGCAGGTTTCTAAGACATACACCCAAAATGACAAATAAAGCCTCACACTTGCAGAGGACACCACAGTAAACCACATGCTTTTATAAATGCTTCCTGCCATTTGAATGATCCACTCCGCGTAAGTAGACAATTATTAACTCCATTTTATAGATTCAAAAACGAAAGCTTTGAGTTTCTAAGTAACTTATTTAAATTAAGATAATGGTTGGGTGCAGTGGCTCATGACTGTAATCCCAGCACTTTGGGAGGCCAAGGTGGAGGACTGCTGGAATCCAGGAGTTCAAGACCAGCATGGGCAACATAGAGAGACCCCATCTCTACAAAAAAAATTTTTTTTAATTAGCCAGGCCTAGTGGCACATGCCTGCAGTCCAAGCTATTAAGGAGGCTGAAGAGAGAGGATCGCTTCAGCCTACCAGGTCAAGTCTGCAGTGAGCTATGATTGTGCCCCTGAAGCCCAGCATGGGTGACAGACAGAGACCCTGTCTCTAAAAATAAATAAATAAATAAATAAAGATAACACAACAAGAAGTAGAGGCAGGCCTTCTGATTCCAGCCTAGTGCTGTTTTTCAGCACACTAGGAAGGCATAAAACACAACAGTGGCATGCTCGCCCGTTTCCTGACTCCATTCTGAAGGGAGATTCAGGCTTCCCTGATGAGCCCTCGGTTGAGAGGAGCTGATGCCAGCCCACATACAGTCAGCCACATACAGAAAAAGGAAGGAAACTACCCCAGCTTCTGAATAGTCATGTCTCCTACAACCAGAAGAACTGATGATTTCATTCACAAACTAGACAGCCCTGTATGCCAGAGACCATCCCTCAGGTGTTTACCCAGCAGAAAGGAAATACGGATTTTTGGAATTCAACATTCCTTTCCCTGACCGGGGCAGCTCAGATCCTGGGCGCCAGCTCCAGTGCTAAGGCTCAAATGTTCTCATCACCCTGACCTTAAACACCCTTCCAAGGCTCCTCCTGTAGGGTTCTATGATGTGGACACTACGTTAGTGGACAATTTAAAACACTGTCATCTAAGGTCTGACTCACGATAAGCCCGCTGCCTAAATTTTACCTCTTTGGGAAAATGCCTATATTTTATCTCTCTGGATTTCCACTCAAAAATGTATAAAAATCTGTAACTAGATATGGCACCAATGGCATCCCTCCCTACCCTAGAAACACATCTCCTTTTTCATCTGCTTATTTAGCCCCAAGTATATATTACTCTCTTCTGGAGATCCCTGGACATGGGTAGACACACCAGTGATTCCCAGGAGGAAGAACTGTCTGCGAGAGTTGAGGCTGGTAACCAGGAAAAGTGCGGGCTCTGCGACGCGGAGGTGGGCTTCGTTGCTAGTGAGAAGCAAACACAGGGACGCCACCTCCAGGCCCAGAGCTGGGTCTTGAAGCTTTGCTGACCGCCCTTCTCATTCTGAGGCTGAGAAATCTCCTGGTTTAGAGTCTCCTGGTTTATTATCCAAGGAGGCAAATAAGAAAAAGATCTTACTTCCAGCTTCCTTTCAAAGCCCAGCGGCCAGAATGAACGTGAGATGCCTTCACCATAGACCCATCCTCACCTAAACAGAGAGACCTTCCTTTGGGTGGGCAGCAAACTCTCCACTTGCTGTTTGGTGTAGTTGAGGTGCCTCAGCAGTGATATCCACTCGAGGATATAAAGGAGTTCCGCGAGGAAGAAAGAGTCTTCCTCACGCAGCAGGTCTGCTGCCAAGAGAAGATCAAAGATATCCAAGGCTGAGCTGCACGTCTCCAACTTCTTGTGGGAGACAAAGTCCTGGCAGAGAAACTTCAGTTTCTCCACATCCTTGACCCCCAGTTGTGAATCAATAATCAGAAGCCTCTCTCGAAAGTTCACTTTACGGTTTTTATCTGAACTGGAACTCAGACATTGACCTTGAGATGCCATGGCCATTCTGAAAGAGACAGAGAGGTGAGGCAGGGCATTAGAGAGCGAGGACACACAGCACCCCGACTTCCCAGGCCCTCCCCCAATCCTAGCCTCCTCTGTTCCAGGCATTACACTTCCCTAGAAGTTCTCAAAAATAAAAATTACTGTGAGGCTACTTCAGAAACCAACAGCCCAGAAAACTCCACCCCAACATTTGCAAGTTACTTTAGAAGGTTTGGAAAAGTTTTTATTGGAACTCAATTTACCCTGATTTCTCCCAAATCAAAATGTCACCAGCAGGAAATACTCAAGAGAGAGGAGGACATAATGCAATTTCTCTCACACCTGGTATCCTGATTGGAACTCTCAAACCCAAAGTTCATTACTCCCAAATGGCAGAAACAGCACTTGGATGTACACATTAAGTTTTAGAGACAAAGCAATCCAAGGGGTTATCCTTCTGAAGGATCTACCAACCCAAGGACAACGAGGCGCTGTAGCAGTTGAAGGGAAGCGTCACACAACTGGCTCCATTTTGCTCTGGACCCTGCAGCAATAGCCTTTAGGTTAAAAGCTTCTGCTTAGTTCTGCACAGAGGCTAGAAGAAAGGTGACAATCGTCCCTTTTCCAAAACTAACTCCCAGGGACATAAGAAAAGTATACACACAAGTAACAATGCTATGTTAAAGATTTTTAGAAACATCCTGACCTTCGTCCTCCAAAGTTAGTTGACCAGGAGCAAAGAAGTTTTATAACCTCCTTAGACCCTCACTGACACGCAGATGTCTGCGGTCCTTGGTTACTTTTTGCAACCCAGTCCCTCCTTCCCCTTCCCTTATGATAAAAAGGAGCCTAAAGTGCATACTAACTTAAGGTGGTTCTTTAGACATTAGTCCACCATTTTCTCAATTTGCTGCCTCTCCAGATAAAAGTAACTTTCTCTGTCCCAAGACCTTGTCTCTCCACTTATTGGCTGTCCCGCAGCAAGTGGTCTAAGCTAGAAATTGGTTACAAATTTGGCAAGACCCAGCCAGGAGTGGCTGCTCACTGCCAGCTGACCCCATCCAAGGGAATTCTCGGGCAAGTCCCTAGCAGCTGCTGGGGCCATTTGTTTCCCAGACTTCCCTTGGTTCCCCATGTAGGATTTCAGTGAAAATCAAATGAGAGTTTGAGGATCTGCTTTTTAAAGGGCTGTTCATATGCTTTGAATTAATAGTAAT